CTATGTAATACTAAGGAAATGTGAAAACACTAAAAAGTTGAGCTTTGTTCAAAGATTCTACATTTTCCTGGGCATCCTTTCTCAAACTCCCCAATAGAAAGTATCTTTCAAAGAATTTTTTTTTTTTTAAAAAAAACTATCTTCCCCTGGGAATTAACACTAAATTAGTGCAAAACATAGTAACATAAGCTTTCGAAAGCAGTTTTGTAACTTTCTTGGTTATTTTTCATTATTCCAAATTCCAACTCCTAGCTAATAAAAAGGCACTTGCCATTTTATTTAAAAGGACAGACAACATGGAATAGTCAATAATATCCCCAACGCAACATGAGAATTCAAAACTTTCCCATACTGATCCTACTTACACACCTAATTTATAAGACATATGTGACTTTGAACAACATACTCAATCTTTCTGTATTTTAATTCTCTCATGTCTAGAACAAGGAGAATTAAACTAGAAATAATACCCATGATACTGCATGGGAAGAGGTTTCCTGGGTTATTATTCACTGAAGTAGTGAATTGGAAGCAGGTTAGATGTCTCACCAGTGCCTTCAATTTAATACATTTTGATTTTCATCACCAATCTGAATTTTCCCTAGTGTTTCTCATCTCAATTAACAGCACACACCTCTATCCACCTAGCTGCGTAAGCCGGAAAGCTGGAAGTCATGAAGGATTCCATCCTGTCCTTCACCTGCCCTGTCCAATTTAGCTTAACACCGGTGGTTTCCATCTCCAAAATACATCTCAAATCCATCCACATCTCTCCACCGGCCAAAACCAAAAGCCACTGTCATCTCCTGCCTGGCCATCTGTACTACTGGTCTCCCTGTGTCCACTCTGGTCACTTTCTAATACATTAATCATTTTAGCAGTGAGCCTTTAAAATGTAAATCCCATTGTCTCCTTCTCCTGGGTAAACTCACTCCCCAGCGCACACATATCAACTAAACACAGCCTTCAAAAGCTTTTTTAGAAAATCAGACTCTTATCAGGCACCAAGGGCTCCTCACAATCTAGCCCCATTTGCTTCTCCAGCCTTATCTGGCAGCACCCTCCCTGGCTTCTCACCAAGCTCCTGAGCTTTTCTAGTCCTTTCTGTCTAGTCTCTTTCAAGATCCAAACTTCACACCACTTGCTACTCTCCACTTACCTTGAAAGCACTGTCCCATCAGCCTTCAAGTTTCAAAGTAAAAATCACTTCCCTATCCAAAACTATTCTCCTGTTATTCTCTCAGAGAAGCCCCCCCCCTTTTATATATGACTCCTTGCAATCTGTAATCTTAATATTTATTGGTGTACCTATGATCAATGTAGCCAAGGGACTGCAAGCTCCTGAGGGCAGAGATCTTGTTTTCCTCACTCTTGCACGCCTGTCCATGCACAGTATCTAGCACAAGGCAGGCCCTCAAACAGCTGATGAGAGGATGAAAGTAGGACAGGTAAGACGCAAGGTAGATTTTTTTCACTCTGTAATCTATGGTCATCTTGTAGATACTCTATCTCAAGAGCTTGCTATGTGCCATAAAGATACCTAATCCGTAAGACTCTGCACTGCAAAAGACATTATTTAGCCTGTTATATAGATTAAAAACAGAAATTTTTCTCAGAGGGCAACTTGCCAGAATTCTAACCCAGGTGGGCCAACTCCAAAGCCTGTGCCCTCCCTGCCTTACAGTATAGCCATTCAGGCGCTTCAAGGGGCCTGTGTTTCTTCCCTCTCGTCACCGGAGTGGTAGGCAAAGCTTACACAAATATAAGACTACAAAGTAAAACTATATCCAAAATCCACCCTCACTGATGGAAGATCCAGTGAGAGAACTCGGTGAAACTAACTGCTTTCCTTCTGAATCCTGACGGCTGGGAATGGGCTCCTTTAAAACATCACTACACCTCGTTAAAATGCATCTGGCTACAAAGGCAGCTTGGGAGATAAAATCTGCACAAACGAAATCCGAAAGCTGCCAATAATAAACAATGCTAATGGCTTTTCAAAACGCATTCGCTGGCAATATACAGCCTTTAGCAGTATTGGTCATTTTCTTACACAAATTCCCTTGGCTACCTCTTACCTACAGTTGAAGATAAATGGTATACTTCATAATATTAACTGAATAGATACAACTGCACCGCCACAAGTTTTCTACGTAAACACCAATCCACTTTATTGTTTAAAACAAATCAGCGAACCCTCCCACCTTAAGAGAATGCCACACACTTTGAGCAGGTGTGTGTAAAAGGAAAGGAGACCCTCGGACTGACTTCCGTATTTAATGCAGCAGAATACTCACTCCAATTGCCTAATACTGGAGATCAGAGAATGCAAAACTGTATATTAAAAGCACCTGTAAAAGGCTGTTTTCTCAGTAGTACCAGGAAAAACACCTGCCGCTTTGCCCGAGTGAACCAAACACTAAGGTCGTTACGGTTTGGAAGCAGGGAGCCCAGCGGCAGGGATTTCACAGCCCGGGTGTCGGGGTTCCCCGGCCGCCGCGGGCGGGGAGGGCCCGGCAACTATGGCGACCCAAGGCCGGGACCGGCCCCCGCTCGGGCCGGGGGACCACTCGCCGCTGCCCCGACGCTTCTGCCGGACCCGGCGTGCTGGCCGGGCGCCGGGCCAGGGGGCCCTGAGCCACGCGAGCCAACGACGCGACAGGCGGCCGCACTCACCTCGGCGCCGGCAGAGCCAGCGCTCCGGGGGCAGGCGGCGCTGGACTGCGAGCCGAGGGTCTGCGGGCGGAGCGGGGCGGGGAGCCGGAGGGGGCGGGGCAAGGCGCGGCCGGCCAGGGGCGGGGCAGGGCGGGGCGGAACCCGCACGGTGGAGAGCGAGGGGAAGCGGGAGGCGTGGGGAGGAAGACGGAACATCGCGATAATTCGCCTCTGTTCTCGCGGGTTCAAAACTCCCTGGACGAGAGGTTCGTTTTCCAAGCGATGTGCCTATTGGCCGAGAGCGCGGCTTCCTCCAGACCTGCCCCGCCCGCCGCTCAGCATTGACTTCCGGCTCCGGCTGGGGTCTTGCTCCGTCGATCCCAGTACTTTGCTTTGCTTTGCTTTTTGGAGGGTTCCACTTAGACCGCTCCAACATCAGGAGTTGCTGATACCGGATCTGTTCTTTCATTCATACATTCATTCAGGCACTCCCGCTTGCATTCATTGTACACAACAATAATCACACCCGAGCGCTTGCTGTGTGCCAGGCAGCGTTCTAAGAGCTGTGCATAATCTCCCCAAACCCTGAAAGCAATCTCATGACACAGGTACTATTATTATACTCGTTTAACGAATGAAAAACTGAGGTCCGGTGGGTTCCTGTAATATGGTCAAGGTTGATTATCAAGCGGTGAGCCTCAGCGTGGGGTTTGAGGGCTCACTGTGCGCGCTGGCAGGTTTGCTCCAAAAAGGAGGCGGCTGACCTAGTCTCTGCTCTGGAGATCCCTGAGGTCTATTGTGAGAAAAGACCGCTGCAAAGGACCATCTGAGCTTAGTGAGTTAAATATTACGGCAATTCCTTGCATGGCCGAGTAGGCGGTCGATAACTTTCTTCACGATGAAAATATTTATTCCTATGTCAGCGGAAGGACGCATCAAAGAAAGAGAACTTTATGATGGTAAAAAGAATTCCAAATATTGTTAGGGAACATTTTTAAAATAATTTTATTTTTTAAAAAAATTTTGTTGGGCAGCCCCGGTGGCTCAGCTGTTTAGCGCCCCCTACAGCCCAGGGCGTGATCCTGGAGATCCAGGATCGAATCCCACATCGGGCTCCCTGCATGGAGCCTGCTTCTCCCTCTGCCTTTGCCTCTGCCTCTCTCTCTCTCTCTCCTCTCTGTGTATTCTCATGAATAAATAAATAAAATATTTTTAAAAATTGTTAATAATGTCAACTTTCTGAAGTGAACAGTTTTAAAGCTTCCTCTTGTGAAACTTGCTATCATTTATTGTTCTTTGAAAAGCTTGCTGTTGACTTCTTAGCCATTCATTGACAATCAACCTTGATTCTATAACTAGTTTGCGTTGGTTTATTAGAGATGAATAATCTGAAAAGCAGATTCATACTAAATAACGCCTGTCCAAAACAAGTTTCGAGTTATAATAAAATACTGATTACTTATATGTTAAACTGGTCTTCAGAAGTTACTGAAGTATATGGCAAGGTGAATGTCATGTAGTTCTAAGAACTTTGATACACATTTTTAAAAAAGATTTTATATACTTATTCATGAGAGACACACACAGAGGCAGAGACATGCAGAGGAAGAACCAGGCTTCCTGCAGGGAGCCGTATGGGGGACTCAATCCCAGGACCCAGATCAGGACCTGAACTGAAGGCAGACGCTCAACCGCTGGGCCACCCAGGCGTCCCCACTTTCCTAAATACCTAAGAATTTGTAGTACTTAAGAACTTTTTTTTGCTAAATTTACAATGAGGAAGCCTACAGCTTGTATAACAACAAAAATAAGGTATTAAGGATCACTCCAAATAATACGACTTACTCCTAATATTGGAAAGTGACCCCCAAAATGATTAAAAACAGAACGACAAATTTTTAAAGCGATCGATGTTAGCCACTTAGCTTTCATCTCTTAAAAAAAAAAAGAGGAAATATTTTAATGAATAAACTTTACATCCAATGTTTGATCGCAAAAAAATGAAACATCTTAGCATTAACTTCTACACCTCTGAAATTTCAGGACACAAAAATAACCAAGTGATTCTGTGTGTCAGAATGTCCATTGAAAGGTGTGTTGATTTTCACATCTTGCCTAATTCAAAACACTAAAAAATCCTTAAGCTACCTATTTTGCAATCTTTAGCAAACTGTAGCATCAACAGGCAGCGCGGTATCACTTTAAAAAAAAATTCCAAGAAAAAGACAACCCCTTTGTAAAATTCCCACCTCTGGCTCCCCAGGATTGGGTTGAAAACTTCGACAAAATACTGTTCTCCACTCCCTATTGGTGCATGCTCTATCATTCATTCTTCGGCTGGAGTTTTGTGAGGTTGCTTTATGGGAAAACGCAGCTATGATTTAGTCTGGAACTTCCTTGCTTTTGACTTTTTCGTGGTTATTAATTTGTACAAAGAATCCCAAACTGATACAGCGGGAACCAAACTGGCAAATCAAGCTGCGGAGACAACTGTGTAATTCGCTGGAAAAAAAGGAGAACCTCTTCTGCGTGCGGGGTAAATTGACAAAGGATTTTACGACACAGAGATTTGAGAGTTTAAGAAACTTTTCCGGTTTTTCGATAGTATTAAAGGAATAAGCGTTAAAGGAAAACTAGATAAAATCAGGCACAATCTAAGAGTGACCGGAAGAGCAGTTTTCAGAAAGTGTTTTTAGGGTGATATTGGAAGAATGTTATTTCCAAATAATCAGTGGATTTTTGAATGGTAAAGGGAACAAGGTAGTAAGATTAATTATATATATATAGATTATTATATAGATTATATACCTAAAAAGCTGTGGCTTGTTGTTGCTTTAATACAGATTTAGAGGGACACTTTGTACTATTGTAATTTTTAAGTGAGATGGGTATTTTTGTATGTTATATACCGCATATATATCTATGAAAAGATATAAGAAAAAATTAGAGTCAGCTTTGGATCCAAATTGTGTGTGTATTTGTAGATTAGGAAATTCAGAGACAAATCTGTTAAGGACCAAGGGAAATATAATATTGTTACATGAAGCAGAATCAGTAGGTAATTAACATAAGGATAAATTCTCAAAAAAGAAATCCAACGTTTATATTTTCAGAATGACATTTTCACTAAAACTAAAATACGAGGGACGCCTAGGTGGTTCAGTGGTTGGGTGCCTGCCTCTACAGGGATCAGGCTCCCTGTGAGGCACCTTCCTCTAAATAAGTAAATAAATAAATCTTTAAAAAACACTAAAATAGGAAAGTTCAGGAAAATATTGATAAACAAGAATAACTTACATTTGAAATAGCAACATAATCCTTTTTGTAGGATTCAACTCAATATAAAACTCCAAAATACAGCATCTTAAAGATTCTTCATGTGTTCATTTAATGAATATAGCTAGTGGCACATCTATATCTCTACAGGGCACAATCTATAGTGGGTATGCAATGGTTTCTGTTATATGGGGATTTTTTTAAAAAAAATTTATTTATTTATTCATGAGAGACACAGAGAAAGGCAGAGAGAGAAGCAGTCTCCATGCAGGGAGCCCTATGTGGGACTTGATCCAGGGACTCCAAGATCCCGCCTGGGGCCAAAGGCAGGAACCAGACCGCTGAGCCACCCAGGGATCCCCTATATGGAGATTTAAAATAATAAGGTTAAGTCCCTCAGGAAGCTTATACTCTAGCTGGGAAAACGAGGCTCAAAACATTTAAATAAAAACTTCTGGACAGTTCTTGATGCATAGATGCCGATTGTAGACTGCAGGTGCTTCAAGAGCATAGGTTATTTTTTTTTAAATATTTTTATTTAGTTATTCATGAGACACAGAGAGAGAGAGGCAGAGAAAGAAGCAGGCTCCATGCAGGGAGCCCGACGTGGGACTTGATCCCGGGACTACAGGATCACGCCCTGGGCCAAAGGCAGACGCTAAACCGCTGAGCCACCCAGGGATCCCCCAAGAGCATAGGTTATTGTGAGATGAAATACTCGGAGAGCTTCACAACTGGCTTACAACCTAATTCAGTCCTGAACAATGGGCAATATTTCAGTAAATAAAAAAGAAGGGAAGTAGCATCCCAGGTAGTGGATGAGTTGTTAGCACATATGTGTGAGCATAAAGAATAATCGACTCATGGTTCATTTGGGGACTTTTTGGGCTTTGAAAATAAAAAGGTAGGACGTCAGAAGTTGCATGAAGAGTCAAAATTGTCAGAATTAAGGGGTTTGGTCCTGGGTTTTCAGCAGGAGTAAGACCTAAGGAAAGTAGTAATGGGAAAAGATTAAGCTGATAGAGCAATTTAAGATGGTTCCAAGAACAGACGAAATTAAAGGATTAAATACTTTAGATAATGGAGTACAGATTGGTAGCAGCCTTATAAGAGATTTTATCAAAGTAACTTTACTTTCTGGTGGCAGACTAATGAATCTTAATGCATTCCTTTATATTCTTCTAAAGCATTGAGCTTATTTTTTTATTCAGAGGTATAAATACAAATTTTACTAGGTGTAGTGGTAGTTGCGGTGCAATTAACACAGTAAACATGGTTGTTCATATTGGATCAGTTCTTGTTCCTTTTGTCTCAGATTTATGTGTATTTCTTGGTTCTATTGAACTGAATAGAAGGAATTTCAACAACAACAACAACAAAAAGGCAGAAAAAAAACAACCTTATGATTGAAGAACACCATGGGAGGATGGGAGGTGTTCTTTCTTGTACTGGAGGCTTTCACTTGACCTGTTTCTCTGAGTCAAGACTAAATTACATACACTCAGTGAGTTGCCCCTGTTTACCAGATAGTTTCCTCAGTGTTGGGCAAACAAAGGTGAACCAAGAATTAGCCCCCCCACTCTACTCCCACCCCCACAAAGCAAAGTGCTTCAGAGACCCTAAACAGGGTGTTTGTCTCCTGCCTCAAACCTGCTTCAAAGGATCCTAAGTTGTTGATCAGTGGTTCTTACTTAGGTAGACGGAGAAGGAAGAATCTCTGGTTGTGGAAAAGGACTTTGAGACAGTCACCTGCTGCAGATGACTGGTATGGTGGGCTGCAGTGCTCATCAAATCTCTCTTTACTCCCCTCTATGTGCTAGCCAGTTCAGGGAAGAAAATGAAATGTTAGCCCATGTGACCTATGTCACTTCTGGCCAATGATGGTGGAAAGTTCATCCCCAGTTTTCCAGTTTCTTGGTCTGCCTGCTAGGACTCCCATTACTTAAAGCTTGGATCTCTGAGTTACTGTGAATCATACATCCCCACTGTCCAAGCCCTATTCCCAAACCAAGTGAGTCAGTAGCATGAAGTGGTTAATATGTTCCCTCATTTTAGCCCATCCAATCCTGCCCACCTAATTGTTAGCAGGTTTTCTTCTGGGGACATCGGCATTTATTTAAGTTTTCTTTAGTTAAAAAAAAAAATTACCCTGATTAACAGTTTCAGATACCAAGTGTATGAGGTATTTGGAGAGAAAAATCACACCATGAAGATGGTTTAATTGTTCATCTAGTAAAGATTTATTGAGGCCCAATAGGTGCCAGGCACTAATGTATTTGATCTACCTATTCATAGAACCATAATACTTTTTTATTTTATTTTATTTTTGATTTATTTATTTATTCATTCATGATAGACACAGAGAGAGAGTGAGAGAAGCAGAGACACAGGCAGAGGGAGAAGCAGGCCCCATGCCAGGAGCCCGACGCGGGACCCATCCCAGGACCCCAGGATCGCACCCTGGGCCAAAGGCAGGCGCCAAACCGCTGAGCCACCCAGGGATCCCCCCATAATACTTTTTTAAAGATTTTATTTATTTTGACAGAGAGAGCACAAGCAGGAGTGCGGCAGAGGGAGAAGCAGACTCCCTACTGAACTTGATCCCAGGACCCTGGCATCATGACCTGAGCCAAAGGTAGATGCTTAACCAAATGAGCTACCCATCTGCCCCCATGGAACCATGATACTAATCTAGGATTGCTTTTTCAGATTTGGGAGCCTCTGCCACATTGTCTTTGGGAATTGGGGCTGCCCTATCTTAGAAAAGTCTTGTAGGGGTGCTCAGTGGCTCAGTCGTGTAGGCGTCTGCCTTCAGGTCAGGTCATGATTCCAGGGTCCTGGGATGCAGGCCCAGGGGTGGGGCAGACTCCCTGCTCACCGGGGAGTCTTCTACACCTTCTCTCTCTGCCCCTCCCCCCAGTTGTGTGCGCGTGCACTCGCACTCTCTCTCTCTCTCTCTCTCAAATGAATAAATAATATCTTTAAGAAAAAATAATAAAATTTTAAAAAAGAATAAAAAGAAAAGTCTTGTAATATTAGATATTTAAAAGCCAGAATTACACATAAACCTGCATTGTGGTTTCATAGCTATTTTTAATAGCTTTAGTGAGATGTTAATTATATACCGTAAAATTCACTCATTTTAAGGATACAACTCAGTGGTTTTTTTTAAGAAAATTTACAGAGTTGTGCAAGTATTATCACATTCAAATTTTAGAAGATTTCTATCCTCCAGAGAAACTTTGTGCCCATTTGTAGACATTTCCCACTCCTACCCTGGTGCAAGCAATCACTAATAAACTTTGTTCCTATAGGTTTGCCTTTTCTGGACATTTAACATAAATAGCATCATTAAGTATATGGTCTTCATATCTGGCTTTCATAGAGCATGTTTTTGAAGTTTATCCATGTTGTATCATGTATCAGTACTTCATTTTTATTGCCAAATAATATTCTGTCATAGGTACAGTACCACATTTTGTTGATCCATTCACCAGTTGATGGACATTTGGATTGCTTTTTTAGCTATTGTAAATAACGCTGCTATGAAGATGTGTACAAGTTTTTGTGTGAACAAGTGTTTTCAGCCTCTTGGGGATATATACTAGGCATGGAGCTCCTGATTTATGTGGTAATTCTGTGTTTACCTTTGAGAGGAATTCCTCATTCTAACCTGAATGTACTATCTTACTTTCCACCTGTGGCATATGAAGGGTCTAATTTTGCTACATCCTTGCCAGTGCTTCTTATTGTCTGTATCTTTGATTATAGTTGTTCTAGTGGGTGTGAAGTGGTTCTCATTATAGTTTTGGTTTTTATTTTCCTAAGGACTAGTGATTTTAAACATTTCATGAGGGATCCCTGGGTGGCGCAGCGGTTTGGCGCCTGACTTTGGCTCAGGGCGCGATCCTGGAGACCCGGGATCGAATCCCATATCGGGCTCCCGGTGCATGGAGCCTGCTTCTCCCTCTGCCTGTGTCTCTGCCTCTGTGTGTGTGTGTGTGTGTGTGTGTGTGTGACTATCATAAATAAATAAATTTAAAAAAAATAAATAAAATAAAATAAAATAAACATTTCATGAGCTTATTGGTCATTCATATATCTTCTTTCGTAAATTGTCTTTTCAAATTTTTTGCCTATTTTTTACTTAGGTTTTTGTCTTATTTTTGAATTGTGTTTGTTATATATTTTGGATTAACGTCTATTATCAAACATGTGATATATCTACAATTACTTGCAAATATATTCTCCTATTTTGTG